TAGTGCGCTGCGGTCACAGTGTGTATGTTGTACAATATGTCACATACTCACCGAGAGGCTGGTGTAGAGTCTCCTGTGTTATTCCCAGGGGACAAGGTGTGCAAATGAGTGAGACTGATTTAACATGTAGCCCTGTCTGCTTGTCAGAATCTGTCACTTATTGTCAGGGGTCACTGCTTACACAAGGCTGATGCTGTCCCCAAGGATATGTTTTGCCCTGTGTGTGAGAGAGAAATGGAGACTGAAGGAGACTTAAGTGCCCCTGAAATTCAAACACACCACATCTTGAATGTCACAGGCGCACAAATAGTTTACAAATCGTCAAAAGTACCAGCTTTAATGTTGTATTGGAATTTTGAGGTAACATCTAGTTGTCATCGCTTTTCTGATACTACTACATAAGAAAAGTGAACTTGTGTTTTGCCAATACATTTATTTGAATGTGAAGCTTCAGCAGTAGGAATTGTTCAGCTTGCATAAACTTTTTTTTTCCGGAATATCATCATAGACTCCAAGTTGGTATGCTGCAAAAATATTAATATATCAATACAATTATCAATCACTTTTGTGTTACGTCATTTGGTGATAAATAGTGACTTAACAGCTAGTACTGAATTGATATGAAAAATCTTCAATATTAATACTTTAAACCACTTGCTGGACATGCAACTGGTAATTTCCTTAAATATCTTGAAGTATCCGCACAGAACTCGTCCTGAAAATGTGCCAAGAAGTCTCCTACCTGTCTTTATGTTAGCAAGTTGCCCTCAGCCCAGCATCAATGTTTCTCTAGGGATAGCAATGTCCAGACAAAAATCTCCTAACTGTTGGATGGATTGCAATCCAAATTTGTATTGACATTCATGGTCCCAAGAGGATTAACCGCTTGAGTTTATATATAGCGTTAACAGCATATTGACTTTTCTTTGCCAATATATCCCAATCAGTCCGTTGTACTTTGCTTTCAGTGCTAAGAAGCAATGCTAAGAGCAGTTGCCTTCCTAACTTGGTAATAGAAAGTGATGGTAAAAATGTCTGTTTTTGGCAGCAAGCAGTTGTATTGCTACTTATGCCGGATGTAGGTGGGTCGAAGTGAATTGGCAGCACAAAATCATACTGGATCAAAATGTTTTGGTGCCCAATCTGGCCTTGATTTTGATCCATTTAATCTTCAAAGGTCATTTAGTATCATCTTCCCATTCTTCCTTAAATCACCTAGGAATACTCTCTTGGAGCATGTGGTCTACGTTTCTGTTTGGACCAAAAAAATAATAATACACAAATCTCTTTTCTCTCTGCATCTGCTCTCTCCTCCCTGAAATCCTCCCTGCCTCTTCCCCACTCCGGTCTCCTCCATCTTTATGCAGATGGCGGTAGAAGGGGTCACTGTTCTGAATGCAAATAAGCTTTGTGCCCTTCCCCACCAGGACACTATGTAGCATGCTACTCCTTCCAATCAAATTCTCCTTGGAATAATGTAAATGTCACAAATGTTCTTGCGGTTTGAACTGTGAGTGTTAGGCTCTTCCCTTTACCCCCCCTCTTGCTCCCTATACCTTCCTTTTAAAGAGTTTGATCCTAACTGTGTGGACAAGCTGCTATGCAAGAGCACTGTCTCACTGCATTCCTGTTTCCTCAGGACAGTCCTCAGCCGAAGATCTTTCATTTTTATTGCCGCTAGAGCAGCCATTTACCGCGCTCTTTATTAAAAACCATATTTCAGGAGGCAGGACAGTGGAGGCAGGGATGGAGCTGGAGGCTGGGGGCACAGTAGAAGAGTCAGAGAGCAGAGGGATAGGCCTGCATGTGCTGGGAGTTGCTGCCTGGATGCAGGGGGGGTTGAACCAAGGGTTTGTCTGACACCTTGTCAAGCAGACAGGCCGCCTGACATGACATACTGCAGCTTCATCCCGTTTACTGCACTGAGGAAATGGAGAGGGACGGGAGACAGCTTGTGCTCTGGCCACTAGCTCACTGAACCGAACAGAAACACTGTTGACGGAGAGATGGAGCCACATTAGGTCAAACAGTACTGGGACAACCCAAGCCAAATGCTCCAGTGCAGGCCAATGCATTTCAGTGACCAGTGGGCAATTACATCATGTGACAGTCAACCTACCGGCAGGCTCCTCTGCTGAGGCAGAAGGGAAAGATGTTTTTAAAAAGTCTGTGTGTTTCCCTTTGGCGAAGTCCTACTTTAGTTTTCTTCTTCATGTTAGTGTTTCTTCAAAAGTCTTATATTTTTTGTCAGAAGTTACTGCTATGAGCATCTCTTTCAATGCAAAGGACCAATATAAAAAAAATACGATCCTTGCTACATTAGCATGTACCAATGCAATGACTTTCTATCAAAGAATGCCAGAAGTAAAATGGCCACTAGAGACTAACAGGTACTAATGTGATGACAATGTCGTTCGGTTGGTCAACCACTTTGATCGAGACTGAAATATCTCAACAGCTATTAAATGGATTGCCATGATATTTGGTACACACTTTCAGGAAACACTGTCATTTGTTCAATACTTTGGATTGAGGCAAAACTCTAAGTCTAAATGCACCCCTACATGCAGCCTAGCCAGGCTGTAGACTCGTAGTCTTGTTGGACTGACAAAACAAGACATCCCCTTGGACTGCATTTTAAATGGCGCTTCATACAGTTTTTACGGGGCTGCTATGCACCTGCTTAAGGAAGCTAACATTCACACACAGTTGGGAATACAACTTGGTGTTAAGGGTCTTGTCCAAGGATACATTGACACGTTGACTGGGATCGACACACAACCTTCTTATTGGAAGATGGCCGCACCATCTCACAGCCAAAGTCCCCCATTGGGCTTTTGGAAACTGCCTTTCCACTATTTTATAGACTAAAAAGGATCATCTGAGAATGAAAAAAGTCCTAATCACAGTTTTTTTATCTGAAAAACTTCTGTTTCGGGTGTGCGCTTGTGGAGTGTTAGGCTGATGGTCCCTTACAAAGTGCATGTGTCTGTTTAAGCGGATATTTATTAGGCATTACAGAACAAATGAAATCAGAGTAGTCTCCATTAAGCGGCGATGTGTGGTTTTAGAGTGGTGCTAAGTATTGGGAAAGTGCTGACAAGACGTACGACTTGTGTGCTCGTCTATCCATTACCGGTCTGTCTACCTGTCTGCCTCCGTAGCCCGGGACCAACTACTGTTCCATCGCCCTCCGCGGCGGGAAGTGCTCTCCGGATCAGGCGTCTGCATGCTGGAATGCAGAGGATGCAGCAAATCCATTCAGCATTGATCCAGTTCCATTTAGACTGAAGATAAACACATTATATCAGGAAACCATATTCATATAAAGGGATGGGTGAAAATGCAGCATTGTAATGGTCGAGTGAGTGGTGTGCTCTGCCTCTTTGGTCAACAGATGATCAGCACTGCAAATGCTAGATGCCATCACTTTACTGTGAGGCTTCTGTGGGAAACTATAAGGGCAGGGCATAAGAGGAAAACATTTGCCAAATAACAAAAAAAAAGCCAAACTTTCGGTATATATGCGCTAATTCTAGAAGTTCGATTGCTTCTCACTTTTGATGTTTATTCTCAACATTTTGATTTTATTCTCACTTTTTATAATTGTATACCATAAATGGTAACTTATTTTTGTTCTCCACATTGAAATTTATTTTCTACTTTTTCAGCTTTATGACATCATTTTCCAAGATCTTTCTGATCTGAGTTATATATTCTTTAGCCTGGCACTGATACTAAAAGTTGACCTTATTCTTGACATTTTAACTTATTGTTGAAAGGCAAGAAAATAAAAATATAAAAAATGGCCTTTTCTAATTTATTTATTCTAATGCTTGACACTAAAATGTAAAGTTTGACCACTACAATTGACTTTATTCTCAATATTTTAACTCTATGTCTTATGCCTTTCCTTATTCCTGGCCCTATAGTAGGCTCCCAACAGAAGGGTAGAACAGACAGACATGTCAGCAGCACTCCAGCAGAGTGATAAACCCCTCGGCAACCCTATGTAGAGTATCCTTTAGAATGAGAGACTGCAGCCGCCCCCGTGGAGCAGGGAATGTGCTGCTGGGTGGGTACGGAGATGAGGGCAGCAACAGATGATAAGGACACTGTTAACATGCTTTGTTGTGTGTGTGTGAACGTGAGTGTGTTTTAATGGCTTTCTCAAAGGCGTGTGGATGTAGACAGTGAATAAGAAGGACAGAAAACGCAGCGGTAATTGTGGGCTGATGGAAAGCTTCACCGACACAAACCAAGGAAAAACCAACTAATGGGATGCTTATCAGTTCAGACTTACAGAGGTTGACGCACCAGGGCGTTGGTTGGTCACTGTGATTAATGCTTTTTATTGGCTGTGCCCTATGGAGCGTTTAACTGGCTTTACCATTAAAGCTTAATGTGGGGCTCCTCTTTGACCTTGGTGAGGGGGATCCTTTGTAAATATCAAATTTGGAAGGAAAGACTCACATTTCAGGCTGTGTGCCAGCGTTTCTCTGAGTGTACGTGGTCACATGTATTCAGGATGAGCACTGTGTGTGTGTCTTTAGTGTTTTGACATGCTAGTCTCGTGCGGTGACTTTCTGCCTCAGGATTGCAACGCTGTCCGGAGCCGGAGCAGGATACAGAAAGTCTTGGCATTCCTTCGCCTTTTCTGACCAAAAAGAGTGATGGCTTGTTTCTGCTCATTGATTTCCCCTTACAGAGCAGCAGAGTGTCAGGACTGATAGGGAGCAGGGTTGAGGAGAAGTGGCCTCTGGGGTCATTTCAAGGCAGTGCGTGACTAGATCCTAAGCAGTTAAAACAGATGAGTTTGGGATAATCTTTGAAAGAAACGGTGCGTTAACATTTTTCTCTGCAGATGCAAAAAGCCACTGAAAAGTAACACAGTATTACATCTCTATTTCCCTTCTAATCTTCTCTTGCTTTTCTGCAAAATGCAATATTTTTTAATTTGTAATGTTGTCTCCCCCACCCCTCTTTTTTCCACACCTTAGGTCCGCTCACTAAAAAACAAGACGAGTCTACGATGAACAGACCAAGGGATGAAGGTATTTTAATGTTTCTGTTTTCTTCCTCTTGCTCCGTTTTCCTAGCTCTGTAGGGATTGTTGTGTTAGCATCTGTATTAATAATCATCTTAGACTCATCACTGTGTGTGCAAATGACATTGTGCGATGTTAACTGCTTTTATTAGCGCACAAATCTGCTATTCCTCCTCACAGGCACACGTTTAGCTGAAGCGCATTAAGAGCTCCATACAAAGTAGTTGTTCTTCATTCCCCCCTGTCACAAACGCTGCGTTTTGGGGTACTTGCACAGGGAGCTAATTGACTTTCCCTTCTTGGGTTGCGATGTGGTTGATCAACCACACGCTGATGTTCTCACTATCCTGCGTGATGCATCAATGGAAATCAATATCCACTCCCTTTTTTTCACCTGCGCTTTTGATGCACTCAAGTCCTTATGAAATGCACTGCTGAATTATTGTCCTTCATCATGTTTCTGGGCATCCTCCAAGTTTTCATTTATTATAGAAGTAGGATTCCTGCATATTTCTGCTACTGCTGTGCATTTTCAAGTTCACTGCAGCAGGCGAGTGGGGATGCTCTCACTACCCTTTACTGACGCAACCAACATCTATGCAGACAGTGTGCATCTGTTTCTGTACACGTGCCCAGACGTACTGTATATATTACATTATGCACACGTACTGTAGGGTGCACTGCATTCGTGCATCGTGTGCCTACTCGAGCGCGGTGCATGTGCAAATCTACGCCCGAGTGCATGTGTTCTAATTTGTGCCAATGTGTGTGGTTTTTCTTCTTTCTTTTTTTTCTTTTTTTTCTATTGAGGGCTCTGTGCTATTTGGGTAGTGAATTCTCTCTCCCTTGCATCTCTAATTGCTATGGTTTAAAAAGAGACAGATGTAGCTAATCCAATTGTGTGGTTTCTTAACGGTGAAAACAGAAGGAAGGATTCATGCAGGATTGCCTCGGAGAGGAGCAGAATGATAGAATAGAGATGAAAGAAAAGGAAAAGCTGAGCACTGCGAGAGCACAAGGGGAGGGCAACGAGGGGGAGAGGAGGGGGGGAAATAGTCATAATGAAGACAAGTGCATGATGAAATGACATTTACAAAACTTGAAAGTTAGAGAAATGTGGAGGGAGAGAGAGATTGAGAGGGTGGATGAGGAGGAGACTGGTAGAGCTTGACATTTATGCCAACACCTGATGGATCCTGACAGGATGAGGGTGGCTCGGGTGGATCCAAATGCCTTACTTTAATTACTACGGTATAGATTGGACACGGATTCCTCAAAATGGTTGGAAAAATCCTATTATGAGCAGCTTGTTTTCTTTCTTTTTTTTTTAAAGTTATTTGCGAGAGACTGCATTGTTTGCGCCTGGGTTTTGGATGCACAAAAACACAATAAAGTGCTGAGTCAGGATGAAACTTTTTACACCCCAAATCAATGCAGTCCATCGAGAATGAGCAGAATAATGGAGGAGCAGAAAGTAGGCAGTTTCTATCCGGAGGTAAGACGTCGCCTTGAGAATAGCAGTGCGAGGAGGGTGGATTTTGAGGAGGGTACTATCAGGTTAGGTAGGAAAGAGAGGAGTGAATAATGTGCTAGTGTTTTGGTGGCAGGCGGGAAGGACAGTGAGCTCCTTGTTGGCCCTGTCGGCCTTGGATTTGGTCTGAGTGAGACACTTTCCCCCTGCGACCCTGCACCCCCTAATCACCCCTCTGTTTGTGCTGAGCCCCCGCCAATCACTGCACCATGTCCCTCGCTTCAACCTGCATCCAACCTCTTAGATGTATTTCATTTCATTATACTTGAAGAGGCCCTATTATGCTTTTGGGGGTTTCCCTTTCCTGTATCGGTTATATAGGTTTTTGTGGTCAGCAAAGGCTCCATTGGACTTTTTTGACTTTCGTAACATAATGACATCGCTATGTAACACTCCAATTAATCGAGATAATAATCAACATAGTAATCGATTATCAAGATAGGAGTTTATTGCATCCCTCATTTGGAGTTAAAAAGAACTAAGCAAACCAGACCTCTGCAGTCCGCTGAGGCTCGAGCCTACATTAGCTGCTACTAGCGTCACACATCTGAATATCCAACCCAACTTTTACAAACCAAGTTGCTTTATGGGTAATGTAGGCGTCGGACAAGGAGAAAATATTCAGGATCATAAAGACTACATCTCTGTTTCTCCACGAGGCCAAATCAGTGCATGTTTGATGTTTGACAATTACATTTGCATGAACAAAATGTCATGGTGTAAACACAGCACCAACATTCTGTCATTTAAACGTAAAATAAAAGATAACAGATTGAACCTTTTTAAATGGCTGCTACATGTCATAGCCTTAGTTCCTTATCACCCAGGATTTCATTTATGGTGGGAGGGTTACTACGAGACCTGCTGATATGTCACTACTCTATACTGTCCTGTTAATGCCGGGATAATTGAACTTGTTTACATATCCTCTGGGAAATCAGCCGAGCTCCAGAATACACCGGAGAAGAGCAGAAAAAGAGCAGCGCGTCAGAGTGTACGACTGAAAATCTTTATTTTTAGCCAGTCTGCCTGTGTCACACGTTTGATCCACAAAAGATCTCTGCATGTGTGAAGCCATATGTGCCATTTTCCACATCCCCTTATGTGTGTGTGTGTGTGTGTGCGTGCGATTGCGAGTGACGCACCCCAAGTGCATGTGTAACCTGAGATTCAGGTGGTGATGCAGGCGGGTGTGCAAATACGTGAGTAGAATTTGTTACCACGGCAACAGGCATTCAGTGAGTCGGTGCAATGGAATGGCTGGTGCAGTTCTATTAGCGAGAAGCAGTTTCCATAGCGACTCGACATCGCAGCTGCCTATGCAAGAGTGTGTGTGTGTGTGTGTGTCTCTATGAATACGGTGTGAATCCTGTGTGAATTTGAGTGTTCATTAGCGTACCTCGCTATGTATGACTTGCTTTGTAACATTTCTTTTTTTCGTCCTTGCTATCATGTTTTTTCGCGGTGAACCTCCCCTCCATGTCTCTTCCCCCCCGTCAGTTCTCTCACACTGCCCTATTTTCATCTCCTCGCTCCCTCACATCTTACCCCCTTTTATCTCTCTCTGTCTCTCTTCCCCATCTCTGAGTGCTGAAGCTCATCAGGGTAAACAGATGCTGTGGCTGTTATTTATGTTTCCACTTGGTCTGGCTTTCATACAAATTATCCACAGGCCCTGCACAGTGCAGACGCTCAGCCTAACTGGGCTGCACTGGCAGCTCTCGCAGCCTCATCCACGCTCAGACCGTACCAAGAGAGGGGGGGTGGGGGGGCTGACAGAGTGAACCATAGCAACACACTGATGGGCACCAATAACAGAGAGGACATCAGAACCGGTGGCAACCATTTGCTCCACACATGCAGGGGAAGAAAAGTTGGGGAAGGTACCATCACGGCACAGGATAGGGGGAGACGCATCACAGGACGAAATGGAAAAGGCTTCATACTTAGTATGTTCATCTTTTTCTCCAAGCAAACCACTGGCTGTAGAGGGTTTGTTTTTACTGCTGCAGTTCTAAAAATCTAGAGCTACCAGTTTAAAGAGGGTAGACTACCTGTTGCCACTTAAAAATAAATATTTCACCCCAAAGATTACCATTTTTATACCAATTACTCGAACCCTGTGTAAGTTTGAATTTTGGAAGAAAACTGTGTTTTTCTCGCATGTCTCCACAGTAAACAAAACATGTAAAGACAGTGAAAATTGTGATTAATTGAACTTAATGGGGCCACATTCAACAACAGCCAAAGTATATCTGAAAATCTGTTTACACAAAACACGCATACTTGTGTAGTATTATCCATGTATATTTATCAAGTCTTATACTCATTCCCTTCCAAACAAATGCATTTCTGCAAAAACTTTACTATATAATATACTTCAGGCTCGCAAGTAATGCGCAAAAATGGGACTGTTTATACAGAGGTATATTAAAAAGTGTTAGCAATTTATGCATGTGTTTGCACATACTTTGCACAAAAGTAGTTCTCTTATGACTTGATAAATGAGACTTGGAGAATACTGCACATGGAGAGCTTGTGAAAGGATGTTCTCATAGTTAAAGGGCCCATGTCATGGCCATTTCCACTGATCATAATTCCATTGTTGAGGTCTACTAGAATAGATTTATATTGTGCAATTTTCCAAACTCACATTGGTTTCTCATACAGCATCTCTGTAAACTACGTGTATTCACTGAATTTCACTCTCTGCCTTTAACGGCTCGTTGGAGCTCCAATAGCTCCAGCCCCCACCCTCCCTGTGAGCACAGTGTGCTCTGATTGGTCGGGACGTTGTGAATCGCACTGAGCTCCGTGGAGGTGTTGTTTCCTTGTTAGCGATACACAGCCAAACACAGCCAAACTCATCCTGAGCACACACAAACTCACAGCCGAAGTAAAAACAATAAGTGTGGCTTGATATTGAGTAAGAAAAAGGTAGATAAACGCTGTGAGAATGGGTCTGCAGAGAGAATTTCGCCGCGATCCCAACTGTCTGTTATCAGCCTGCAGCCAGGGAGGAGAAATCAGCTGAGCTGCATGCTCCCTGCACACAGATGTGTGTGTGAGGAAGTCCGTGGATTGGTCAATTTGGACCAATCAGCGGGGGCTTAACGTAACGGCTCCGCGGACGTAACGTAACGGCTCCGCGGATTGGTCCATTTCGTTCCGGGTACGGCATGACATCATGCCGTACCCGGAACAAAATGGAAGAATCAAATGGACAATGACGTATCTCCAACGAGGCGTTTTGGGGAGGTCTTTTCTGTGTTAGAGTTTTACTCGCTACAGGGTGTACTTTGAGGGTTTGTGACTCTGCACACCGTTTACATGCATAAAAACCTTCATAACACACAAGGGGACGGGTAATAACCGGAAAAGCATGACATGGGCCCTTTAAATGCGACCCCCTATTTATTTCAATTTCTACACATTTCTAAGTTTTTTCATGGAGGCATGCGAGAAAAACACCTTTTTTGTTCAATAAATCAAGGTAACACAGGTTTAATATTTGAGACAATAAGATCCTTTTCAGTGTGAAGTATTTATTTAACTCGATAGGCCCTTTAACCATTTTGAGTATGTGGTTGAGAATTTTTCCCAGAGGATGAATGAAGATGAAAATAATGCTGTTTGTCTTTGTCATGCAGATATTCGGGATCGTCGTAAGAAGCCTGTGATGCTCTTCATCCACGGAGGCTCCTACATGGAGGGCTCAGGGAACTTGTTTGATGGCAGCGTCCTGGCTGCCTACGGAAATGTCATCGTGGTCACCATGAACTATCGGCTGGGCGTGCTCGGTAAGTTTGGTGTTCCGCATCCTGCCGGGCTTTATCAGCCACAAATTCATCTGATGTTTTTTTTGCAGAGTTTGTTTGCGATGTGTCATCTCAACTTGACCTTCCCCTGTCAGTCAGAGAGCTGATGTCTATCAGGTTGCATGTTTTATAAATGGGCGTAGTGTTTCTGGAGCGCACTGGAATCCAGCATATTTGCATTTTGCATAATGCAGTTGAAATTCACAATGTTAAAGCCTAGAAGATCCAATCATCACTATGCTGTCCAATAAAGCCAATGTGGTCAAGTTGAATCATAGTTAATCGTGATAACTGAGATAGACTGATATCTCAGAAAATGGAAAGCTTTACTTTATGTCTAGATGTTCAGCTTCACAACATTAGCACACATCTCCACAGAGACAAATGGCGGAAGATCTTTCCATCAGGTAATTACTATAATTACCATAGAAATAAAAATAAAGATATTACTGTTTGCTTTTGATAAAAAACTAAGTTGGAAAGGGGATTTATGCGCCCTAAATGGATGCCTTTTTAATGGATGTGTGTTAATAGCACACAGTATCAGCTCTGCAGCGCCACTTCTCAGAGGCTGCGGTTTTATCAACATATCAGTCCTGCTGCCTTTACGTAGATGCTCCGGGATTTCATTTGGTAAAACAACTTCTGGTACTATAAATCCGCTGTGGGCAGCAAATACTGTGAGAATTACCCTGAATCATTCATTGATCAATTCAGACTGATTTACTGACTCTCCTGCTGTGCCGATTTTGTCTGGAGAGTGTTAATTGACAGTGGTTACATAACCTTCTAAACGAGCCACAGCCCTGAACGTGCTCACATGTGCGTTGTTGGAGCACTTAAACAAATAGCACTACACTCCTGGTTTTAAAAATACTGGTGCAATGAAAAATAACATCAACATCAAAATTCCAACCAATCCTTTTGCATGCTTTTATTGTCTTAAGCTAACACCACAATGCATTTTTTAAGTAATAAGTTACATTACAATATTACTGTCTCTGAAATGTAATGAGTTACACTACTTTTATATTGCTTTTGAGTTATTTTACCAAAATAACCGCAAAAGAATGGCTAGGTATTTTAAAGGCTAAAATGTAGTTTAGTGCAGCTCATTATACATCCAGTGAAGGGCAATGTGGTATAGCATAACAACTGTGTAGGCCATTAAGGCTACTAACAACTTTTATTACACGGCTTGGTCAGGGTTCGAGTTATAAACTGAGCTCTATGGGGGTCTTTAAAACTAACGTGTGCACGCACGCACACGCACGCACGCACACACACACTCAAACCCACACACACACACAGAAGCAGCCCTCTACTTGCTACAAACTTAAATATGAAAAGGTCCAACTACGCAGACACACATCATCTCGGCTCGCGCAGCACGCTCACAGGCATCAATTGCGCAATAATGTATTGCGCACCATGGAGGTGCAGTGCAGGCATATTGTCATTCAAGAGATGCGTAGTTCTTTTGGAAAACATGTTTTTCTTTAGGCTGATCAGGTAACCCGATGCGAAGCGGAGGGATCTTGATGAGCCCGAAGGGTAAACACCAGGCTTACTAATCTACCCGCACAATTTTTCTCTGGTGTCGGAATGTCTTGCGATGTTAGTGAATTCTTAAAAAACAAAACACCATTTAATTTCGGGTTAAAATGTGTTGTAACTAAACCTTTATTCTCTGTAATAGCCAGCAGGGGGCCACTCCACTTGTTGGCAAAAATAAGTTCTTTAGTATAGAAGTCTATGAAAAAGATCCCTACTTCTCACTTGAATGATAACCTTAGAAAACATGTTCCTAATGGATTAATTATGTCAATCTCTCAGTTCATAGAATCGGAGGGATGAAACCCTCTGTACTGGTCACACATGCAGAGCACACAGCACACACAGTGACATTTGGCCTCTGCTTTTAACCCATCCTAGTACCAGGAGTCTAGGAGCAGTGGGCAGCTATTGTACAGCGCCCGGGGAGCAATGGGAGTGGGGGGGAGAAGGGGGTTGTCCGGTGCCTTGCTCAAGGGCACCACGGCAGGGCCCAGGAGGTGAACTGGGACCTATCCATATTTAGGTCTGTTCGGGGACTTGAACCGGCGACCCTACAGCTCACAGTCCAAGCCCCTACTGACTGTGCCACTGTCTTGACACAGCTTTCTTTTATGGTCCAATTTAGAGTAAAATATTTTAAGTGTAAGAATTGGAAACATCTGTATTTATAGAAAAATACAATGCGCTCAACTCAATCTGTGCAAACAGCCTCTTGATCTGTTCACTGACAGACATTTCTCTATAGCAGGAAATAAATATTATATATTTTTTTAATTATATGAATATTCACTCTATTAAAAAAAAAGGATCTGACTCACAATACTTCAGAGACACCACCGACCCCTTACTGCCTTTGGTGTACATTCAGTCATTCACAACACAACTGAAATGAGTGTTTGTTGCTTTCAGTGTATTTTTGGATTAGGATGTATTCTATTTGTCCATTCTGTTAGAGCTTTGCAGAGCTTGCAAGGCCTGTCACAATGTGTAGAGAAGTGTGTATGTGTGTATGAGTCTGTGTGTGTGCAGCAGCACAAGGGCTGGGTAGCCCTTGTGCTGCTGGATATCAGTGGAGTCAAGTATTTACATTTGCCGTCATCTTTCAGAGGTGTTTGCACACAGACTATCTAACGCCGCAATTGCGGGTGCCAGGTTGGGTAATCAGATCTTGTTTATTGCATCACGCCTGTTTCAACATATCAGAATAATGATAAACAGAGAAATGGGAGTCATTTAGGATGCCGTCCAAGAGTTGCAGATTATTAACAGAGGGGTAACACAATCCAGAGCGTTATTGAGCGTGCCAATGGAGAGGGGACAAGGACGAAGTGAGGGTTAGTGGGATGAGGACCTGGACCTTCGGCTTTATCGTGCTCCATTTCAGCTTGTTATGAGCTCTTTTTCACAGCTGACAAATCGTGACCTGTAACAAATTGGGCGTGAGATTCTGTTCACAAATTGAAGTCAGGTTTGTTGAATGCAGTATTAAACTAGAATTACACAGACGTTCCCCAAGGCCAACGGTGCATTCATGTGTTCCTCCGACGGAGTTGAAAAGTTATTCTTCTGACTTTAGTGGATATTATATCTTATATCCTTTATTATTTTATTCTTGTTATACTATACTACTTTATTTTACCTGGACTTCTAATGAGGACCATAATGAGCAATTATCATATCAGCACCTATATCTGTTTTTGTCTATTTACAAGAGTGTGTACTTAATTAATTAGTTTAATACTTTTACATTGAACTTGTTAATGTTACTTGGGTGATTCTATGCCGACATGCTAACAACATGTGTCCCAGTAAGGACCAAAAAGAATATGGTCTTCGTCAGTTACATACGATGTGATGTAGGCATCTTTATTGCACAGTATATCCAGTATTTGTGTTCCTGCATAGAGCAAAGAAAACTGATCCGTGAAGCAAAATCCTTGGCAACTTCCAGAGTTGCTCAGATTTTTGGGGGGCTTTCATGAGAAATCTCCCAGTTGGTAACTCATTTATGAATATATATCTCGACACCACATGAATGCAGAACAAATGCCCTACTTTATATTATAATATGAACGCAATAGAGTTTTTAATATATCGTCCTTGTTAACACACCCACAGCAAAAATGTCAGGGGTTCTTACTTGGCCCATGATTCCACCAAGTTTCAGGCAAATCAGTCCTGTCATTTTGATGCAATCCTGCTGACTAACACCCACAAAACAAAAAGTGAAAGTGGTCTTTGGTGTTTCCTTTCTCTACAGACTCCTCATCCTGCTTGATTTAAGTTGTCATTGTTCCTTTAATTCATGTTAGAGAAGTGTTTGAATTGCCCTCATGCATTCTACACTATGGATTTTGACTTCCACACATGATCATTGAAAAGATATACATGCACATAAAGGCGGAGAGCTACCCTGCTCATGAGGGATGACGCAGTGTCCTCGATTCCTTTAACGTTGTTGAACATTTTTGGTATGTGGGCGAATGTGTGCTCCTTCTCTCTCTCACTCTCAGATATGCTTTAAATGGGTTACTGTACTAAGGCGATTATCCTAGTGTGTGTGTGTGTGTGTGTGTGTGTGTGTGTGTGTGTGTGTGTGTGTGTGTGTGTGTGTGTGTGTGTGTGTGTGTGTGTGTGTGTGTGTGTGTGTGTGTGTGTGTGTGTGTGTTAGTATGTTTGTGTAGCATAAGGATGCATGTGCACACAAATGCCTGCTGTGCACGTGACAGAATGTGAGCGTGCGCCACTCGGTTGCGTGCCGTACGTAAAATATACATATGAATAATGCAGCATCCATCTGAATATTTAATGGCGCTCCTCTCTGACACTGTGAATTTGAGTCAAAGTGAGAAACACAGGCATGCCTTTTTTTGAATAGCTTTACGTTCTAATCTTTAGTATTATCCTGTACTTACACACACAGGAGCTTACATATGCCAACCTCATTTCATACAATGCCTGCGCCTTTAAGAGAGCGATCCGGAGTCGCGTATAAGGGAAGAAGAGAGAGCAGGGAATAGAGAAAGATGAGCGAGGGAGAATCATAGAGAGACACTGAGGGGAGAGGAAACAGAAGGAGGGTAGGGGGGGAATATGGGAACGGTCTAAAAATAAACCGTCAGAAAATGTTTTTTCGTATCTGCAGTGATGCAAAGTATTCATTTAAATAAACGCTCCTGCAGTGTGACCACAGCTCCCTTCCACACCGCTTAAACTCCTTATGCTTCCACTCCACTATGACACGTACACATGTCATCTTGAAGCAAATGTCATAATACTTATCTTATTAATTTATCATAGGCGCCGTGGTTGTGGAGCGAAATGGGTGAACGAGGGCAAAATGTCTGCTGCACACTGCCTGGTTCAGAGGTTTGGCGACAGTTGAGTTTCCAGATTTGCTCCTCGGCTCACCTTCTCCTACCTTC